GCTTAAAAAAAGAAAAAAAAAGATCACTGAAATTAATTAACGTCGAGTCTGGTCAGTACCTAAATAGTTGACCGCTTAGGAATCCCAGTTACTGTAAGGTTGGATGTAATGGATAATGGAACGGAATTGATAATCGGAGAGCCGAGTTCTAATCTCACTTATATTCACTTACGCGAAAAAACCATTGGGAAACTTATGAGGGCGCAGATTCTCCCCACCCACAAGTCATGGGTTAATTAGTAAGAATTGTATCAATAAATCGTTATTACCTAAAACAAAAACAAAAACAAAAAAAATCTTAAAATCTAAAAATAGTTTCTGGCTTTAAATAACATGAAAATGGCTGATATTCTGTAAAAAACAAAATAATGAAACAATAAATCTGCAGGTCAAATTTCAGACCATCCGAATGACCTGTGCCCACTTTTCTATTTACATACTCTCTGTCCGTGATATTGAGTAATTTCACCCATAAATATAGCACAACGCAATCATCAGATACTGATTAAAATTGACCGTTACATTATCTAAATTGTGTTATGTATATATATGTATGTGTATACACACACACACACACACACACACACACACATATATATATATATATATAAAGAAATATAGTCTTAAGGTGTGCTATATTTATGGGATAAAGTGCTCAATATCAGAGATAGAGCGTGTGTAAATATGAAAGTGAACATAGAAGTCAACACTTAGAGCCTCTAAGTGTTGACTTCTATGTTCACTTTTTATTTTATATATATATATATATATATATATATATATATATATATATATATATATTATCGTATTTACGTATATATATATATATATATCGTATTTACGATTCCAATGGAATAAATTATGACCATGGAATATTAGTGTTTAATCCTTTTTAGTTTATCCTTACTCTGTCCTGGACATTGAGTTCTACCTGGATTCTATCCTCTTGGAATAATTTTTTTATACATATATATATATGTATAAATAAGTATATATATATATTTATATAGTTTAGATATATGATTGCATATGTATCTGTATATTAACCACTAATATTATCTATCTATCTATCTATATATATATATATATATATATATATATATATATATACATAGCCGCAGTATAAACCACAGATTTTATACAATTTCTCGTGCGATCTAATAATCTTTTTTAATTATTAAATCGCATGAGAAATTGTACAAAAAACTAAATGAAACCACCTTGTCTGTCGTATTCAATGAAATGTGCATGAAAGGAGGATTGCTGCCTAAACACACACACACACATACATACATATATATATATAGGTGTGTGTGTGTGTAAAGTGTGTGTATATAAATATAAATATAAATAAATATATATATAATTATTTATATATTATATACGCGGTACTTATTAGAAAGCGCTCAATATCAGAAATAGAGCTCATCAATCCAACCAAATATATATATATATATATATATATATATTTAAGTTACGAAGATGATCCGGAGTCCTTTAAAAGGATTTTGGTGAAATAAATTATTGTAATGGTACCTTAGTGGTCTGTTTTTTTTCATTAAATTTTATATATATATATATATATATATATCTATATATATATATATATATATATATATATATATATATATATATAATGAATTGATTTAAAATATGTTTTTTTCGCTACACAGTTGTAACCACGTTTCAAAAATGGAAGCTAAAAGCTTCGAATTTAATTTTGTAATTAAATTAAAGACATTAGTTCCATTTCATCCTCGAGCGAATTTTGGAGGACACATGGCACAGTGGATAAAGGCGTTGGTTAGATCCAGTGACAGACCCAAAGAAGGTGAGTTCAATTCCTGGTTAAGGCAGTGGAAAACTTTCAGAGGGAAAATTAGCAGGAGATAACTGATAACTGACATCCATCAAACATGGCACGTGGAATTAGAACAGTCTACCCCAGTGATCGAAATAAAGGGTTCAGTTCAAAATTCCAACCACCTGAAGAAGGCCGGAGCGTACAACGGCCGAAACGTTGTGACAAATATGGCGACAAAGATGAGGACAATAGTCCGACTAATGTAAATACTGTACATAATACCTCATCTCAGAAATATAGACAAACCTTTATATGCAATATAGAGCGAGCATGACCCAAGATGGTAAACGAGTCAATGCTAAATTTAGCAGCAAAATTTTTAATAAGATGCTCCGCGATGGAGGAACTATATATATATATATATATATATATATATATATATATATATATTGTGACTTGTGTGATATATATATTGTGATATCGTATATTGAACAATAAGTACACCAGAAGAGTATTAGACGACTAGTGAGAGTGTATCGAATGAACAAGCGCTCAATCTATTCACTGTTAAACTTTAACAGCCCCACCGCCACGAGGTTGTGTGTGACACAAGGCCGGTTTATTGTGGGTACTCCGAGCCCGTAGGCTTGGCCAAAAATATTCCCTTTGAACCCGCCTAAACACGGACGAAACTTTCGTCCGAGTTCCTCTCTGCCGAGGCAGAGAGTTTGACAGTTGAACAATCTATGCGACTGTTCCCCAAATGGTTTTCTAAGCGTAGCTTAGATGTGGCACAAGGCCGAAAGTATGGGGCACCCAGTGAGGATCGAACTCACTTTTCAGTCGTAACTGTTTTAGCAAGACAAGTTTGCTAACCATTACACCACGCTGAGTTGCCCCCAAAATATAGTGATTTTCCAAGCGTAGCTCAGATGTGGCACAAGGCCGAAAGTATGGGGCACCCAGTGACGATCGAACTCACTACTCAGTCGTTATTGTTCTAGCCTTCTGTCCTACTAATCTTTTAGTAGGCGGAAGAGTCTCTCTTTGGAGGAAGACACCACAACATTATATATATATATATATATATATATATATATATATATATATATATATATATATAGTGTATAGGTGCAGCAGATCATTATTCAAACCTATATTGTTAAATATAACAGCCAATGTATGTCTATTATGTTTGATCATGAGCGGTTCTATGCTTCGTATAGTGGCTCTAGTTTCTGGGGAAAATAAAAAGAAAATCTGTCCAACATTTGGATATATTTTTATTATGTTGTTCATTGATCTAAGCTTTAGGCTCACATAAGCCATCATCAGAATGGTTATATAGACATTTCAACAGAGATGTTCAACATCAAAGATGACATCCTGTAATGTTTACATAGAAGTTTGCTATGCGACGTTAAATTTTTGCGGATTTGCAGACGCAGGTCGTAAATTCGTAATGCGGTTCTATGACGTCATACATTACCACAAAATGGACACAAAATGTGTAAAAACTGTCCAAATGTTCTGCATTTCCGAGATCTTTCGGCTATACTTTTAGGCATTACTTACCTGGCACAGGGCTCGTCCCTGGGTTGGTAAGTAGCACTGCTATGACTAGCTTAGACCAGCTTTGACCATCTTGGACAAGCTATGACCAGCTAAGACCAGGTTTCGACCAGCGGCCCGAATGGAAACATTCAGGTTCCCCACTTTAAAAACTGACCTTGTGTCACATCCTGACTAAGTGGGGGGTCAAGTAAATATCTACTTTTAGGCATTATCAAGTATGACTTTATTTTTATTTTTCACTGAATGTATGGGTTGTGTGTATATATCTAGAGTTAAAGGTATTTTTTTCAAATACAGTCAGCACGTTGTGGCCGTGTTTTGTAGTTAATGTTACTGAGTGTTGGCCTTTTCTTTTTATTAGTAAGGCTTCTATTATTTTACATCTTTCTTTTACATGTAGATGAGGTTATTATGCTTGTATTTTCAACTAGTCTGTATCGAATCGAGTCTGTTAGGTTTGTGTGTGTGTTTAAGAGTTCAAATGCCCCTTAAAGAACTGTGTTCCTCATCAACCCGAACTCAAAAATAATTACATTGGTCACACTATTACTTGACTATACAGACGACTTACGTTACATCTATCCGACGACAGGGCCATTAGAACTCATTTAAACACAGGAGCACGGGATCATATGTGGCAGCAGTATTCAAAGCATGGACGAATGGTAGACTTATAAATATTTAAGATAGATTCAAGGGAGAAAAATTGTCTTGCTTGACACAGTGAACCAACTTTCCTAGCAGTTGACCTAGCAATGGATTAAATTCGGGATTAGGAACCATTCGGAATTAAAGACAATTCGTTGACGATGAAGAAAACGAAAGCAGTGATTATCCTGATGCCATACGACGAGGTATTTCTATTTCCCAAGATTTTTGCCATGCAAGTAAATCACATTTTTTTTCTTCCTAGGGCTTCTTACTCTGACAGATATACTACCTATACTTGTTGTATACAGTATTTTTTGACAACCGTGTTAAGTCATGTTGTTGGTGATGGCTATTCACAACGTGATTTTCTTTATTAGGTTTGACTTGCCATGTTTTCTTGGGAAAGAATTATGATTCGTTTGAACGTTTTTTTTTTTTTAATTCAGATTACAACTTCTACTAGACTAGTTGCCTCCATAGGCTCTAGATCGCAGTTATTTAATCCATAGCTGGAACAGAAAAGACTGATCCATCCTTTTCCCAAGGATTTTAGATTGAAAATAAACACTACAGACTCGGGCGCAATTTGAACGTGACTCGCATATTTCACTTTTATGAACGTGGCGCTACCCGTATATCTTTGTATTATCCGCACCATGACTCTATAATCGTAGAAAAATGATGAAAACATGGAGAGTGGTCGGAAATGAAAATCTAATTCCGATTCAGGTATAATTTTAGAAGAACCCCTCATGTGTTACTTTAGCGATAGGCTTGTTCATCAATTCAAATACAGACTAAAAGAAACAAAATATCCTAAAAGGATACAATAATTGGTAGTTTTCAGTCTCCAGAAAAAAAAGGTTAGGTCACAGTGCGATCAGTACTGACATTTCACTGCCATATTGTCTTGCAAAACCAACTATATCAATCCTTGTGTTTATTATTCCTTTTTTTTTTTCTACCGTAGTTTTCTTGTTGTTCCCATATTCTGTCGACCTAAGAATTCGTTCTCCGTCAATTCGACAAAGAAAATACAAACACTCCCTTCATATCTGATTAACCATTACATTCATATTCCGTACAAGAGGATAAAGTTCAGACTGTAGTTACTATCCTGGGTTCCCACATTCAGATAACTCCCCAGAGCTGATCTAATTCTGATCACGTGGTTATAAATCGAACACACAGGAATAAATGTATTAGTTTATGCTGTTCCAATTGATTAAGTTTGTCATCTTTGTTCGTTTTCCTTAAAATGTTTTGCGTGTGTAAGATAGAATATATGGCCGTCAGCAAAAGGATCAACTCAAATTATGGACTTGCAAGCAAGTACCAAAACCTTAAATGTTTGGAGCAGTGTTTCCCGGCCTTTTTAAGCGAGGGCTAATCGAGAAGCAAAGGAAAATATCACGGAACACTTAGCAAAATTTTTAACGGATATACAGGGTGTTTAAAAAAGAATACGCCAAAATCATCACTTGATATGTCAAAAACAAAAAAAAAAAAATTACAAACCTCTAGCATGAACACATCTATTGTATATACATTCAAGTTTCATTTCATGTTTCATAAGGGCTCAATGTGGCCCGCACCGGCAGCGCGGACAACGATATGAGAATTCCTCCGAAACGCGCCTCAGCATGTCACGGTCCACTGTGTTGATTGCAGCTGTTATTCGATTTTTCAAGTCATCGATACTTGCTGGAAGTGCTGGAACATAAACTTGGTCTTTAACATACCCCCAGAAGAAAAAGTCACACACAGTGAGGTCCGGGGATCTGGCAGGCCAAGCACAGAGAGCAAGGTCTTTAGCACCTCTCCTCCCAATCCATCGCTGAGGCACGTTTTCATTCAGATAAGCTCTAACCCCGAGATGTCAATGGGATGGTGTTCCATCTTGCTGAAAAATGAAGTCATTCGAATCTACTTGCAGTAAAGTGAATAGTCAGTTTTGGAGCATTTCGTGATAGGTTTGTCCTGTTTGTAGCTGCAGCGGAAGTTATACTAACGACAACGGTGAAACTGACACCCAATCAAACTTTGATAACTACTCTATCAAATAACCACTGATTCAGTCCACTACAATGCTATAGACCTGAAAAAACAGTGTAATGATTTTGACTTATTCTTTTTGAGACACCCTGTACATTTAAATGTTATGAAATAAAACCATAAATGTAAAAAAAAAATATACTCCCAAATATGAACGTACTTTATTTCAATGTTTTTGTTCAACTATTTGTGCAGCTTATTTAGTGTGAAACATTGTGAGAAATTCTGCAATTAAAGCTAAGCTCCTATTGGCTAATTTATGCCACACCGTATTTTTGTACCGACCAATCTCTTTGGTTGAATTTTCCTTTGCCTTTCGCGGACATTTTCAACTGCACATGCCTTTTTTTTCAGTTGCTGCATAATCTTCGAGATGACAGGACTCACATTTCTCTCACATTGCAGGGCCTTTAGCGCCCAAAATTAAGCCTAAATGACTAGGCAATTATTCTTCTTGTCTCATATTCTAGAGACTTTTTAAGGCTGAGCAATTCAGTCGGTTTATTGACTGTCGTCACATTATGTACTTTTGCATGAAGAACCTTTCTGCATGCTCTCGACAAATAGCCGAGTTTTTATTTCAGCAACCAAATTGGTAATGCTCCTGTTCGACGACCGTCAAGTTCCTGCTTCTTCGAATATTCATAGAGACCAGTTGAGGGCCACCTCGAGGTGGTGTAATGGTTAGCAAGCTTGTCTCGCTAGAGCAATTACGACTAAGTAGTGAGTGCCTCCTAATTTCGGCCTTGTGCCACATCTAAGCTATGCAAAGACGAAATAAAATTTGTATTGAATTTTAAGGTAGGCTTTGTTTAAATTGTATGTCTTTTCTTGTCTCTGCCCTGGTTAAACCGTGTGAGAAGAAATTCTCACAACATGTGAGGTGTTTTTTTTATGATTTCTTCAATCAAATGTGCGATTAGCAGACCCCATTTCTTCTTCAGTTGGACGAGGTCTTTCTAGATTTTTATTTTTTTATGTTATTTCGGTTTGAAAAGACTAGTTCATATAAATAAGTAGAAAATAAAACCGATAAAACCTTTTTAGCTAATGCGGGATATTCCTTTTGTATTGAAATTCAAAATGTATCCAGAATAGTAAAAAGAATTATTTGAAAAAAAAAAAAAAAAAAAAGTTTAATACTTATTAATTTATTCAAAGACAATATTTTATGGTACACTTTAGAGGCTGGGTGATTGAGAACTGTTTTAACAGAGAACAGAAATTGCGACATGGAAATCCGAAGACGCTTTGGGGCAACAAAAGATGTTGTCCAAAAGTTAAGCAAAGTATTAAGAGGAATATTTCGTTAGAAACAAAGAAAAGAACACTGGGATGTTATGTAATATCAGTCCTCCTATATAAATGCTGGACAATCCCCCTCACAGAGGACATAGAAATTTGAGGCAACAGAAATGTGGTTCTACAGAAGGCTGCTGAGAATACTATGAACCGAACATGTGATCAACGACGAAGTTAGCGAGAAAATGGAAACAAAAAGAACGCTTATACTTAGAATCACAAAGGGACCGTTGAAATTTCTCGGAACATAATGAGGAAAGATGGCATAGAAAATCTGACACTCTTGGGACATGCTGAAAGAAAGAAGGACAGAGGAAAGCAGCGAACTTGTGTAAATGATTGTCAGAACGGATTTTAGGAGAGATAGGAAAAAGACAAACACTACTAAGAGCTACAAAGGACAGGAAATTGGGGAGAGCCATGATCATCCACGTCCTGAAGGGACATAGCACATGGAAGAAGCTTTCCGACCTTTCTAGGATTATATATCTTATTCTACTGATTAAAATATAAATTCCTGGGAAGGTCGGAATGTTGCTGAATTTTATTCTTTGGCAGCACACGAAATCCCTCTCATGCATATCACGTTTTTCCGTCAACCAATGTCCAAATTCTTCTTTGGACTCGCGAACGCGTGTTTGGGGGTGGAAGGTGGACGGTGAAAGAGAGAGAGAGAGAGAGAGAGAGGAGAGAGGGAGATGAATAATTTCGCTTTCTAATTTTTTTATACTTGATCAAGTTCGAACTTTCGCCATGTTTTATGAATGAGGATAACTTTTGACTTTCCCTCGAAAATATATATATATATATATATATATATATATATATAATAATATTTTTTTGTTTAAAAATATGATTCCTTCGCTACATAAGAGTTCTCATGTTTCAAAAACGAGAGCCGAAACCATCCAAATAATTATTAAAATTAAGTTGAATTTAGGTGTTTAGTCTCGTTTCATCTTCAAGCGAAATATATATATATATATATATATATATATATATATGGGGGCGTGAGTGCACGTGTTTAATTTTTTCGTGAAATCGATTTCAAATGCAGCTCTAAATATTCTTATTGATTCAGAAATTTCCGGTTTTGTTTAGCAAATTAGTTCTTCGAAACCGGTTTTAATTTATTCAGGTAGAGTTAGTTGAAATGTCTCGAGCACGTAATGAGGAAGAAGGGCTTAGAAAATCTGACCCTCACAGGACAGATAGAGGGTAAGAGGAACAGAGGAAAGCAGCGGGCTTGACTAAATTGATGGCAGAGCCAGGTTTGGGAGAAATAACAAAAAAGACACAACATATTAAGACCTGCAAGGGACAGGAAAATGTGGAGAGTCATGATCGCCTACTTCTGATGTGACACTGCACGCAAAAGAATAAAATATTCACCATTATTTGCAATGAGTTTTTGCCACTTACGAGGCAGCTCTTCGCTACCTCTTGACTAGATTTACAGAGGTTTCAATGTGAACGGTTTTTCGACGAAGATTTGAAACTTGTTTTTATTAGAAAAAAAAAGTTCCCTCCCATTTAATGCGTTTTACAGCAATCTAAAAAGGGTAGTCAACGCTTTGCTCGATGTGGGTGGGGGATATAGCTGCTAGACTAGAAGAAATTGACTGAGTTCCTCATCTTTTCCCTATGCTGTTATGCGGTTTTACGTATTCATGGAGAACAACATGTTCCCTTTAATCCACTGTGTACGCTGCCATTGCCGTGCAAAAACTAAAGTATCTTAGTGTCTTTCAAATTTATTCTCAACTGCATGATTAATAGTTCAGTTGATATATTCATCATTACAACTAGTTACCCAGAACACAATTTACTTATGACAAACTAATATAGTCTCAGTCCACTTTGAAATGAGAACTGGTTTGTCATAATACTCATAAAGTACTTCTCATGTTCTGATTTTGATAAATCCTGACAATTTTGATAAAAGCTAATAAATAATTTAATATAATTCTGATAAATTATTTCTCATGTTCACGATTTTCATGAATAAAAAAAAAAAACAAATTTTTTTCATAAAATTGTAATTATTTCCCATGGAAACATTTTCTGAATGTTTTTTAATGAATGCAATTTTGAATATATTTTCAAAATAAGAAAATAATCATCACTATCAGCAATGATAATACGGTACTCTGCAAAAAAAGTGACTCAGCAATGATTTTTTTCAATTATTTTTAACTTTAATTACAAATAAAAAAAAATATTTTCCCAATTAAAAATGGACATATTAGTAAAATTAAAAAAATAATTTCCACCTTTTTTTTTTTAAAGCAAAAAGAAACATAAAAATGACCATTTTTGAGTATTTAATATGTTATCTACTGTGCCAAAAAAGTGACTCATTAAAAACTGTCATTATTTTAAAATATCTTATAATTTTATTTCCATAATTGTGTTCTAGAATATTCTTAAAAATTCTAGAAAGTTTTAGAATTATTTTAAAGTATATAAAAGAAACCAAAAATATAATTAGTAATTTATGAAAAGCTGTAAGCACACACAGCAATCTGTTGCAATCTAGTAATAGTTGCCCTATCAAAAGCTCATAAATCGACTCGTGAAATTGGAAATAGTGTCAACACTTGTCAGTTCACTCTTTCGACGGTTTTGAGAAGCTTCAATTCTACTGAAACATTTGTCAAGGTACAAAACAGTAGGTAGAAAACACAAAATCGATGAGAGACTTGGCCACAAAATTAATCAAAGCCAGTCAATTACCAGTATAGAAATTGCT